AGGCCAGTAGAATGACCATACTATGCTGCCAACACTTTATACTGTTAATCTTTCTCCCAGCCTTCCCCAAAGGGATCTACAGCCCTTTATGAGAGTGACTGTTCATTGAGAAAAGGAAATAATCAGACTTTTCCATGATAACTGGATACTAGCTTTGAACTTACACTAATTTCAGGAGACCCAAAACATCACTGTGACTCACCAGTCAGAATGGGTGCATATGGAGATCAGGTTATTAATGGACTCTTTAACTCATGTCTGTCTCATGGCAGGTCCAGTGGGTCCACAAATCTATCCTGTAGTGATTTCCCCAGTGCCAGGATGCTTTATCCACCATCATGGTATCCCACACAGCATTGCCTCAGATCAAGGGACTCACTTCACAGCAAATGAAGCGTGGCATAGGCCAATGCTCATGGAATTCACTGGTCTTACCATGTTTCCCATCATCCTGAAGCAGCTGGCTTGACAGAACGATGGAATGGCCTTCTAAACACACAATTATGGCGCCAGCTAGATGGCAATACCTTGCAGTATTGGGGCAATGTTCTCCAGGAAGCTGTATATGCTCTAAACCAGCATCCAATCTATGGTACTGTTAGGCGCAAGTATGACTTTTTAATTGTCTTTATTCAGAGATTACGTATGGTTTAAGAAGATGTGTACAGGTGCCAAGTTGAGAAGTGGTGGACTGTGATCATTAAGGTTGTCCACTTGGCTAGACCATGATTCTCAGTGATTTGGCAGCTATGATGTAATTTGATAGTTGTACAATAATGTAATCACCTCCATGATGGGTTCTGCTGTGAGGAGCCAATCAGTTGAAAGGGCGTTTCCTTGGGAGTGTGGCCTCCATCCAATATAGGAGGACTTTCTGGCAAGGCTCGAGGGCTTTTGCTCCCTCTGGATCCTGCAGCTGGTTCCTGTTCATCTGACCTTCGGTTCTTGGGACTTGAGCTAGCAGCTTACCTAGCATCTTGGGATTTGTCAGCCACACAGTCTGTGACCCAGTGGCCTGCTAAACTTGGGATTTGTCAGCCTCTGCAACCAGTGAGCCAGAGGCCTGTTGTCTGACCTGCCTATCTTGGGTTCGCCAACCCCTGAAGCTACATGAGTCAGGAGAAGCCTCCAGCCTGACCCATGGACTTGGGACTTTGCAGCCTTTACAACTGCGTGAGCCATTTCCTTGATATAAATCTCTCTCTCTCTTTATATATATACATATAGATGTTTCACTGGTTTTGCTTCTCTAGAGAACCTAGCCTAACTGGCAAATAAAATAGCTAAGGTCCTACAGAGTTGAGCTAGGTTAAAAGAGATTATCTAAAGAAACCGTGACTATGATTCTTTGTGTATATATACTGAAGGACTTCAGGAAAACTCCCTCAGAAAGCACAGATATTTTAGCATTGACTTTCCTTAAAAATTTAGCTGGATAAAGTCTTAGAAATGTTTGTGAAGATGCGAATTGGTTTAGATATTTTTTCTTCTCTTTGATTTAGGGAACCAGTAAAACATTGCTGAGATACCACAGAACTTGCTGTGTTCTAGGAAAATCAAGCAATCTTCTGATCATCCAAAGAAGACTGGAAAGAAGCTGAGTGGGGTCAACCGGACTTGAGTTTGGCAGGTAGTACATTCCAGGGCCTGAAGGCCATAGAAAATCCAAAAGTGCTTATTGAAAACTTAGTGGGAACGTACTGAGAAATTTAAAGCAGGGGAGTGATACAATTATATTTGTGTTTATAAAAGAACCTTTTGTTGCATAATAAAGTAATTTAAAAGGGTACACTAGAATTTTAAGAATTAGGTGATGGTAGTCTGGAATAGTGTGTTGGCAGCAAAACTGGGAGTGGGTGGGATGGACTATAAGTAAAAAGGAAGAAGAAACAAAACAATCTATTTTCTCACAAATTACTGAGTGCTGATGACAGATAAGACTGATCTAGCTATCATTCTAAAAATTGGGCATATAGTATTGAGAAAATTTACACTTCCTGACCTTAATGCATTTAAAATCTAATAAATAAATGATGATTAAAGGATAAATTGTGTCAATATATTGTCAAGATACACAACTCAGAACACCATTAATAGATTGCTATGCAGGTTCAATAGACAACTTTAAAGTTGGGCAGCACATCATTACCACGTAAATCAGTGCTTCGATAAATTAAGATTTTCAGGCTACTTATATATAATTTCATCAGGAACTTTGAACAGAAAATTTTTGATTGGTTGACGATTATGTGAGAATGTATACTGAAGAAGAATTGATGCTTTTGAATTATGGTGTTGGCGAATAATACTGAATATATCATGGACTGCCAAAAGAATGAACAAATCTGTCTTGGAAGAGGTATGGTCAGAATACTCCTCAGAGGTAAGGATAGCAAGACTGCATCTCACATACTTTGGACACGTTATCAGGAAGGATCAGTCCCTGGAGAAGGACACCATGCTTGCTAGAGTACAGGGTCAGTGAAAAAAAGGGAGACCCTCAACGAGATGGACTGACACAGTGGCTGCAACAATGGGCTCAAGCATAATGACTGTGAGGATGGCACAGGATTGGGTAGTGTTTTGTTCTGTTGTACATAGGGTTACTATGAGTCAGAACCCACTCAACTGTACCTAACAACAACATTAAGACAGGAGTATGTGCTCAAACATTATTTACAGCTTAAATAGGAACCTGACTAAGACAATCACAAGATCTGTGAACCACGATTACAAGATCTCTGGAGTACTGGAAACAGGACATGTTTGTTAATCTTTGATTGTTTTCTGAAAGAATAAGTTTCAAGTACTCCAGTGAGCCTGATCATCTAAATACAATTATGTGAAACTAGACAAACTACTTCTAAAACTTAATACTTCAAGGCACAGCTATAGGCATTAAAAATTATATATTTATGATTATACAGTACATAGGTTTCTAACATTTAATAAGATGACCTTTAGTGTCATGGGTAAACTTTTTATAAAGCAAAACTTAGCATTTTATGTCACATATGAACCTAAAGGACATGAGGTTAGCAAAGAACAAAAGATGATACATGATTGGGGATAGCATACAGAAGGCCTGTCTGAGGAAACATTATATTAAATTTATCAGAGAGATAATAAATATGAATTAGCCTAGAAATCAGTGCTAGGTATTAAGAGGTTTACAGGAAGAAGAGGGAAAAATGCTCCACATACAGGGAACAGCATTCACTGATTCCCTGATTAGACCGATGATTAATTCCAGGCACTTATCCTGGGGGAGAGGAAGATGTCTGTATCAATAATTGCTCCAAGTTTTAAGCCTCTGGGTGATAGTTAAGGCTCCTCTTTAAGATCTGGATTATTACAGAAGAGCAATTTTGGCAAAAGTCCAAAGTAGTGGAGGAACCTCTCAGACATTCCAGTGGAGATGAGATTTTTAAGTTCAAGTTTGGGGCTCAGATGTGAGATTTGGACTATAGAGTTGTGTTTTATGAACAGACAGATGATGTACTAGATCAAAGGAATGGAAGAAATTTATCTAGATGGTGAGTACTGAGAAATCATTTTGATTTTCCTACAGTCCAGATTTCTGGCTTTCATGGAAGTTGGGGTAACCCACCCAGGCCATTGCCCTTAGATGTCCTTTTGAACCTTGAATTTTGAAAAAACTATAGTTCCTAAAAGTTACTTTTGAGTCAAATAATGGTCTAAACTAGTAAGACCGATTTGCCTTGGGTATCGTGCTCTTTTACTGAGTGCAGAAAAATTCAGTCAGTTTTGGGAAACAGACTCCAAAGGTCAGACTGGGAGCTATGTTTAGGGTAAACCACTAATTATTTTAACTGTTCTTCAAGTCAATGCTGTATGATAATCCTGCCTGACCACAATTTGTTTATCAGTTCTGTTCCAGCCCTTTTTCCATGGCAATGGAAAAAGATTCGGTGTAAGAGTGTTTTGAGGTCCTCTTATCTTCAGAACAGTTTTTTAATCTCTAATTGAAATGTTACCCTGATTTGTAAACAGTATATTAAATAAACTTCAGTCAATTTCTATTACTGGCTTAATATGATTTTTGTTTTAACAGTACAGAGGGAGTAGAAAAGGAGGAGCTGGGGCTGAGTAATGAGGATCTCCTATATTTCATGTAGAAAAAAGAGCTTGAAAATACCAAGAACAAGGGGCCAAAGAAATCCAGGAGAGTGTTGTGACCTAGGAGACTGGGGGAGAGACAACTTCTAGAAGGAAGGAATCGATGAATTTGTTGAGGAATCATGTGTGATAAAGAAGCAATCCATAGATTAAGTGATATTTAGAAAACATGCCTATCAATAGTATTGGCAACTTTAAGTGTAGAAGGTGTAAATCATATTGGAGTGTGTAGAGGGGTGGCAGGAGAGGAGAATAGACACATTAAATACTGCTCTTTGAAGAAAGTTGGTGAATGCTCAAGAGATGAAGTAAATGGAGAAATAAAAAGTGGACACTAATTAAAAAAATTTATGTAATCGCTTTGGTAGGAAAAAAATGCCTGAAAATTGACAGGACTTACAAAATGGGAATGGAGGAGGCTAGCTCCTATCTCATTCTTTGGAGAACTCACCAGAACCCCAAAATTGGAGGACACAGTGAGGCTAAGAGATTCTGAAGAAGGTTCCTCAGGAAAGCAGCACTTTGATTTTCTCACAAAGTCCTGCACTGTCCAGTTGCTTCTTCTTCTCTGGGAGAATGATACCACTATTTTGTTTTTGTCTTTATAGAGAAACAATAAACCTAATCAGTACTGCATTCCAGAGAATACACTCTGACTACACAGATACTAAACCTAATCATGGCTTCTCATCCTCTGGCACACACCTTGTTCAACTGCACTGGATTTACAAGACAATTAAAAAGTCAGACTGTCCTACAATGTCGGAGAACAAAGAGATAAATCAATATCAAAGGGTCATTTGGAAACAGTTTCATTCCTTTAGTCATTCGATAAATACTTCTGAGTGCGTTCTTTGTACCAGGAAATGTTCTAGGTCCTGGAGATACATCAGGTAACGAGACACACTGGCTCTCCATGAACAAAGAACTGGAATTCCCTGGCGGAAATCTGAAATTAAACATAAAAGGGAGATGAATAAATATGGAAAGTTGCCATAAACAAAAATGATGTGACAAAAATAAGACACATTACTAGGATGGAGAATGGAGGAAGAGAGTAGAAAGGCACAGGCCACATAGTATTCCCCTGAACATGTTAATAATGATATTAACTATTCTAAGGAAAATAGAAAACCGATTTTATACGTTAGTTTTCTTTTTTGCAGAGAGGAAATAAACTAAACTTTAAGTGCTTATCAAAGTATACTACATAATTTCATTGCCTTTTCACTCAGAACTGAAGCTTACGTTTGACTAGGATTCAATGGTTTTCCTTTTAAAATTCCCTTTTAGTTTTGTTTTTTTCTGAATTTTGTTGGAGATATTTAATACAAAAAACAACTGTGAGAAACATAAACCTTTATTAAAATTAATTACTAACAAAAGTTTTTAAGATTAAAATGTTAAAAAATGTGCTTGTGATTATCTACACTTTTTTAAAGAGTTTCTTATATTGCATTACACAGTCTACGGCAGCCGATCTCAAATGCTTTTGTGCGTTGAAATCATATAGGAGCTTCAGAAAACTCTGATATTTGGGTCTCATTACCAGAGATTCTGATTTAATTGTTCTTGGGTGTGGCCTAGACATTTAGCATTTTAAAAGGTCCCTAGGAGATTCCAAGGGGTCTCAACCTTTGAGAACCAGTTATCTAAGGAGTTGAGACCCAAAAGAGGGTCTTGCTACAAAAGGACATCATGTTTGGTAAAGGAGAGGGTCAGAGAAAACAAGGAAAATCCTCAATGAGATTTACTGACACAATAGTTACAATGGACTCAGACATATCAACCATCATGAAGATGGCATAGGACCTAATAGTATTTCCTTCTCTTACACAAAAGGTTGCCATGAGTTGGCATCGACTTGACAGCAACTAACAACAACACTGATAGTATATGGTACATGGACCAACAGCATCGGCATTTCCTGGGAGCTTGGCAGAAAATCAGAATCAAAGGCCCCACCCCAACCTATTGAATCAGGATCTGCATTTTAAGAAAATCTCAAAGTATTCATAGGATATATGAGAAGCCCTGGTTCTGAACAGCTTTTTAGACTATCTACCATGTTGCATTAAAAAAACCTGGACAGAAAGCGAGGATACTGCCACTACTTCATTCAGTTCATAAACAAGTGAATCTCTGCTGAAAAGAGAAAGCACAGGCATTGCCAACAAAGGCTATCCATAGATTGTAATAACGGAGCTACCCTGATCTTGGTAATAAGCCTCCTAGTTTCCCAAAATCTTTCCCCTGCTTTGGGCACGGATTCAAAATACATGCATGCGCTGCTTAACGTCCACGATACGTTCTGTGAAATGGGACGTTATGTAATTTGGACGAACAGCTTATTATATATGATATATATTTGCTACATATCTATCAAAAGAACCCCCACGCAAGCTGCTCTGGCTCTTCGGTAGTGCCCAGAGCCTCAGGGTTGGCACATTTACACTTGCAATTGGCTGCCTCTGGGCAAGTGGCTATCCGAGGAGCTCCAGGGAGCCTGGTTGGAACTGGAAGCCCCAAGGGATGGATCCCTGAGGCCACAGCCCAGCATCTCCCCAAAGGCACTGACCCACAGGGTAGCTGGTCAAGGCACTTGCCAGCGGCAGCCTCAGGAGTGCAGCTGTGGCAGTCTAGGGAGCAGAGCCACAAACTCCATGCCTGCCCACCTACTGGTGCCCTTCCAAACAAGTTCCTCCTTCACGCCCCACAGACATAAATGTAATTGGACACTGCTCGAATGGACGTTAAGCAGTTCATGACTTGTAAAATACTCTTAAAGTGCTGAATAATACAGCCAGGCTTAGAACGGCTAAGAAGAGTGTTGTGCCTGTTCCTTCTCTCTACATGTTCAGCCCCACTTCCTAGAAGAAACTGTTTCAAATTATTTTAACTCTGCTTGTGCACCTAAGGAGCACAGTGGTTACAGCAATGGACTGCTAACCAAAAGGTCATCAGTTCAAAACCACCAGCAGCTCCGCAGGAGAAAGATGTGGTAGTCTGCTTCCATAGAGGTTTACAGCCTCCGAAACCCTATGGAGTCGCTCTAAATTGAAATCAACTCAATGGCAGTGGGTTTCGTTTGGTTTTTGCGCATATCTCCTAGTTTTGGTTACATGTGTTCACTTTTTAATTTTATCTTTCTCAATTTATACTCAACATATTGACTTCTTTATGGCACTTCCATGGCACATCTACCTGCTTCCCAACCCCAATCCTTCCAAACTAATTACATTAAAATTTTAGTTAAAATAATTCAGTGTTTACATTAGGTAAATATCCAAAACATGTAAATATGCAAATATTAAATACTACTTATTAAAAAGTTTGGCTGTACTTATACAATTATTTTCTGGAATTAATAATTGCATTATTTTCTTATTTGCTTCAATTTTTGAATCTATTACTTATGATCTCAATTTTCAAGAGAATCCTAAAAGTATTCCCATTGTTCTAGCTGACCTAGTCAAACTTATTTCATAATCTCTCATGCCTAAGTTTTGCTCCACCCTAAATTTGCTGTGACTTGAGGCCCACACATGCCTTGTCCTCCACATGCCCTAAATCAGTGAGAACCAGGGGCTTTGCTCATCATTTGCTTTTCTCTCTTTACCTTTATCAGTTTTCACCACACTCCAAAATGGGGCAGAGTGGTCTCATTTTCTATTCCCCTCAAATCCTAGCAATAAGCAGTAAATTTAGGAATACAGTTCCACGGACTAAGATGGACTAGGAAGAAAAACCTGGTGATCAACTTCCAAAAATCAGCCAATGAGAAACTCTATATATCACAACAACAACAAAAAAACCCATTGCTGTCAAGCTGATTCCAACTCATAGCGATTCTATATGACAGAAAAGAACTGCCCCATAGGGTTTCCAAGGAGCAGCTGGTGGATTTGAACTGCTGACCTTCTGGTTAGCAGCCGTAGCTCTTAACTACTGCGCCACGTATCACAACAATGTAATCTAAAACCAATCACGGAGATGGCACAGGACTAGACAACATTTTACTAGACAACATTCTACTGCACATGGGGTTGCCATGAGTTGGGGGCTGACTTGACAGAATTAACAATAAAAACAAGACCTATCTTATAAAAAATATGAAAAGAAGTTCTCAAGAAAGAAAGGCAATGATAGAAATCAGAGAATTGGGTCTACATAAGGAAACGAGAAATAATAGAGAAGGAAGAAATGAAACTGATATCTTTTTTCTGAGAAGGAGTGGCACCGCAGTGGCAGTGAGGGCAGAGGTCGGCTGAGTGTGGGGCCTCCTGGGAGGAGGCAGGAGGGGCACAGGGGTCTCGGCCTGGTCAGCCAGCTGAAGACTCCGGGGAGGGGCCAGAAGCAGCCTGGGGTGGGCCACAGGCACCTCACTTCTGGAGATGGAGGCTGTGAAAATGCTTTATTGCAGCGCTACACTTGTGTGAGGAATTTTCAACGTTGTCAGGGTCAGAGAACTTAGTTACAAGCACATTTGATTTCCCTTTTGAGGCTTGTTCTTGTGATGTTCTAATCATTGCCAGATGAAGATGATATTGAGATTCCAGTGATATCTGAAGCAACCCCCATTCCTGATGGGAACTGTGAGTCAGCAAAGAATTCTATGAGTCTATTGACCAAAGCACCAAGTCAGAGAATAAATCAGAACCTGTAGCTTCCACTCAGAAAAACACCAGAGGTCAAATCTTCCAATGACCCTGAGACTTCAGAAATTCCCCCTATTCAGGCATCACAGACTGCAGGCAAAGAGCCTGTTTCCAAAGATGTGCCCCAGAGTAGATGAGGCTATTAGGGCAGCTGGGGCAAGTCATTACTCTCCTCAGCCTCAGCTACAGTTGCTATAGTAGGACAAGGTATTTCAGATGTTGCTGAGAAGGCACAGACTTCCCTTGGAATCCCTAGTCCCAGTGAAATTTTAACTCAAGTTAATATGCATGAGAAGAGACAAATACCAAGAAGAATGAAAATGCCTCTCCAATGGCTAGGTTGCTTGGTGTGTTCTCGACCGTCTCTACTGATGTTTAGAACACAAGAAAGAGTGTTATCAGTGGAGATTTGGATGCCTTAAAATTCATTCAGAAAAAGACAATGGATATAATAAACAAAGGAGATCCTGGATTTAAAAAAATCAAGGTTCTGATGAACCAGAATCCTACACTGTCTCAGATTTTACAAGAGGCAAAGGAGAAGGAAGAACTACGGACCTCCAATGAAGTTACCGTGGAAACGGAGAAGAAAAGTCATGGGCTACTCTTGGATGAATTTCAAGGCCTTTCTCATTTAGAAGCTCTGGATATGCTTTCCTGAGAAAGCAAAATAAAGATAAAATCTATCCTTAATTCTTTGAGTAAAGAATTAAATATTCTAAAACTTGAATTAGAGGAAATCAAATAAATATTTTCCCCAGCAGAAATCTGTGAGGAAGAAGAAAAAAAAAAAGGAAATGAAGACTTTACCAAAGACATAACAAAGCTGTTTTCCCAGCTGCACGCCTCCTTCAAACCCAAGAAACTGGCCAGAGCAAGAAATACTGCCTACAAAAGGATCCAGACATCTCTTACCAAACCATTAGCAGAGAAAGAAGAAGGGGAAAAATGTTGGAAGTGGAAAATACCGAGTAAGTCAATAACAACGCAATAGAGGATTACCCACACATTTGCAATCTGGAGCCTAGCAAAACTGACTGCCTGCTCAATTGAACTGTTCCACAAAACAGCACTATTGGTTCTGCATGGCCAGAAGCAGGAAGTGACGGCCATAGAAAGGAGTAGAACCCTTTCCCAGATGACAGTTGTGCTGTGTAAAGAGTTGTCTGTTCTGTCTAAGGAGTTCACCACCAAACAACTGCTGGGGTCAAATAAAAGGCAGACGTCCTTAACCCGTTAATCACTGCGGTATTTCTGCGGTATTTCTAGAGGCGTCAGACAGTGCTTAATACAGCCAGGATGCCTTTCAGCTACTCCTACCAGTGCTAGAGATCTCTCTCATTGAGATCAATACTGAACTGCTGCAGGCTTGAGTTGCACGTCCAGCCAGTGGCAGTTGTGAGGACAATGAAGAACAGAAGAGACTTGATCTGGACTTATGGTGATGGCCAAAAAATGCCACTTTTTTCTGGGTACCCTGCAGGAGTGAGGAAAAAGGGTCACTTTAGTATTGAAAATTCAGGCAGGAGAGCAAGCTTAAAGACAAAGTTTGTTGCCTTTGCTGCTTGGCTGAAGTAGTCAGGCTGTCACACTACTGTTCCCAATTGTTCTAATTAAATTTGGAAACAACCTTTTGTAGAAAGTCCAAGGATAATGGCTCTAGATAAAGGTTAGTGGGGCACTCAGGCAAAAATGTTATTCTTTCTTTGACATGATGCAAAACACAGTTTTGCCATGAAAATAACTGGTTGTTACGCAAGAGACAAAAAATTTAGTACTCTAGAATTCACAAGCTTGGCCTATTAATACCATGTACTTCCTCCTTTCTAGAATAAAATCCTATCACTTGTCTGTCAGTTTGTTGTACTATGATGGCTTGCATGTTGCTGTGATGCTGGAAGCTATGCCACCAGAATTTCAAATACCAGCAGAGTCAGCCATGGTGGACAAGTTTCAGCAAAGCTTCCAGACTAAGACAAACTAGGAAGAAGAACCTGGAAATTTACTCTGAAATATATAGTCAATGAAAACCTTATGGATAACAGTGGAACATTGTCTGATACAGTGCTGGAAGATGAGCCCCGCAGGTTGGAAGGCACTCAAAATTTGACTGGGGAAGAGCTGCGTCCTCAAAGTAGAGCTGACCTTAATGACACGGATGGAGTTAAGCTCTCGGGACCCTCATTTGCCATGTGGCACAACTCGAAATGAGAAGAGACAGCTGCAAACATCCATTAGTTCACAATCAATGTCCAAGAAAGCAGCAGTGAAAAAATCTGACTTAAGAGTAACCATCCGTACTCTGATTAACGTAAAACTGAGAGATTTATTGAAAGAAAAGAGACAGCTTGGCTGGGAATAGACTGAACTCCATGTAGTGGAATCAAGTAATTCAAAAGTGGCAACCCAACAGTGACGTTTTATAGGAGGGGAAACAATGAATAGGAAACACGTTACTTGACTGGTATTAACAAGCTTAGATCACCGAAAGACATTACTTGGTTAGTAGTTTGTTTTAAGGCAGGGCTTCCGGTGGCAGAACTCGTGAAAGATGGATTCCTGTAGCAGAACTTGTAAGGAGGACATCGTGTGTCAAGCTTTGTAGGGTGATTCGCTTAATAGGATATACGTCTCTTTCTTAGATGGCTTACAGTGTGGTAATTACACGGGTGTGTGACAGGCAGGGGTCACATTGTAGTTACGTCATCATTACCGGACATTCCTCCCTTAGAAACTGTATGGAAGATACCTGCCACTAGGGTGAAAATGGAACCAGCAAACAAGGAATCACACCCAATCCTCAAACTGGCCATTTCAGATCTTAAGACC